CCAGCTTCAGGAGCTTGCTTCTTGCTGGTTCAGGGGGAGCCCAGGATCAGGTTTCCCCTGCAACAAAAATAAAGCACAATGGGATCTAATGCACCATCCCACAATTGCACCTCCTGTCATACGCATGTGGCATGGCAGGAATTGAAATTGTGTGAATTGCACATTAGATCCTAATTCACCTTTACCTGCCCATGTAGAGGGGGCCTAACAAATACTGTATAGCAGTGTTTCTCAACCAGTGGGACGCATCCCACTGGTGGGATGCGAAGGTTGTGTAGATGGGACTTCAATCGTGTAGGTGGGACTTCAACTCATTGCCCAATTGAAAAAATCAAAGTTGTTTGCACTTCAAACAGATGAATCAATGAATATCTTGAACAGTGGGGTTTTGTTTTTATCATGGTGGGACCAAAGTTTTTGGACAAAATGGTTGGTGGGACATAAGGTGCAAAAGGTTGAGAACCGCTGCTGTATAGCACATTTCTTCTATCGATCTTGGAACCCATTCTTATTTTTAAATTCTGATACAACTAGAAAGCATTTGTTACTTTGTCTTTGCTACAAAAAACGGGGCTAGCCATGAGGCCTCTTTATGCTTATGTTACAGAGCAAAATTAAGTTCAATGGCTTAGTAACAGTTGAACAGGAAACTAATTGCTTAATCAGCTTTGCTGCCAATTCCCATGCTGAATTATGTTACACCTTAAGAACACTTCTTGTAATTCATTTTCCTTTGTAAATCAAGTCAGATCAGAATAGGTCTATAACATGCATCTATAGAATAACTCAAACATTTTACCAGGAAAGTATTTACTTGAGTATTTTTCATAACTCAAGTATTTTACTAGGAAGGAATGGCAGATATCTTGAAGATTTAGGGCCTAGGACTGAAAAGTAGCTTTGAATTTCATACCCCTCAAATAACTGGGTGTTCATATCATTTTGTCTGCAAATCAGTTATATTTACAATCTATAGCCATTTTTAGTGCTACTCTCTGTCAACTGTTCCTAATAGATGAGCTTTAGGTGGACAGCGCTGACAGTGATTGCTATTTTACGGAAGTTTGTGGCAGACAACTGAGGTCATTTTGAATACTTGCCAAAACAGATGGCCTTGCCTCTGAGGACTTTTTTTTGCAGAGGCCCAGGTGACAGAGTGATGTCTTCTAACAATTATGGGCTCTGGACTGCAAAGAACCAGTTACAGAGTACCTGCCTGTTTTGAAGGACTTGTTATATCAGGGTATTTTTTTTCCTTAATCAAATTAGTTTGCCACAGAACTGGCAATGACAGTTTTCCAGGATTTGTAAAACTCAGAGGCCTTAGTAGTGAGTGATGAATTTGGCTATTAAAATTTAGAATAATGCCCACCCCAAACTACAGTCTAAGCCAGTGATTCTCAACCAAGGTAGTGCAAGATTCTTTTAAGGGGCCTGGAGCGTGCCACACAATATTATCACTGTTAGGTGTACAAACACCCACACCTGGTTCAGATAATAAACTCAGAGGCCACATATAGACAAGCATGGCTGTGTGGTATGTGGCGACGCAGACACATCTGTGATGCCAAATACCACACATTCAGCTATTCTCCAGGGGTCAAAAAAACCTGCGCAAAAAACCCCCAAAACCTGGAGCGGCACATGTGGGGGCAGCATGTGCCACTCAAAACCAGAGCCTGGCCAGCCAGAGCCATGCTCCAGCTGCCAGCCAGGCTCTGTGCAGCAAGACGGCATTGCCGTAGCCCCAGGAAGCCCCCAGGACCCCAGGTAAGGCTGCTAGGGCCAGCTCAGTACTGGCCCCAGCCTCCCCTACCCCACCCGGGGTAACCTGCTGTGTACCAGAGGGCGCATGACACAGGCATTCCTCAGGGACAACTAGTGGCAGCACAAGGTATCCATCCCACTGCTAGCTGTCCCAGGGAAACAAAATGTCCATGCTTGTGTGGACATAACCAGAGATTTCAATTAGGAATCCATAGTGACAAGAACATTCAGACCTATTATGGTGTTTCAGAGTTCTTTGCAATATAAGACTTGGTATACTATTTTTCCACAGTCAAAAGACAAGTAGAAGTGAAAAGCTGGCATTTTCCAAGGGGTACCTTGAGTCTAAAAATGCTGAGAACCACTGATCTAAACATTGATTTCCAGATCCAAATTTCCCCAGGGTTTTTGGTGTTCTGATGTGTATTTTGATTTAGTCTGTTGTTTAGACTGAGCCAACCAGGAAGTTCTTATCTATACCCAAATGTCCTTAAAATCCATCATCATCTTTATATTAGAGGGAAAGGATGTAGATTATGTGCTTGGGATGTAATGTTTTCATGGCAGTTTTGCAAGCAAGGCTTTTCTATAGTCAAACGGAATCAGTTTCAGTTGCTTATAATTTTGCATAATTTAAACAATGATTACACCATTTTATTTAATTCCAAAGTAAAACACCCTACTGTTGTGAAGACTCTTCTGAAGCATCCTGATGATTTCTATATGGCCCAGAGCTAAATTAAAAGCCATAGTGGCGCTGCACTATACCTTAAGTCTAAAAAAAACCCCCTACTTGAATCACTTCCCCAAAACTTGCTATTTAATGCATCCCCTCTTCCAGCCTATTGCTGTAAAATTCAGTCCCTCAGTATTTTTAAACTGATTGGTGTGCTGTATGCAAAGTTCCTATCCCAGGTAAGTGGTCAGACTTCTTTGAAAAATAAGGTATAACTTTTTATTGGGTGGGGGAGGGGGAGGCTTTTGTAATTTTTAGCTCTGTAAATGGTACAGCTGTTCAGTGGTATCTGATATTTTACCCTTGTAGGTTATTGAAATCATAATCAGATATTGCAATCAAATGTACTACTTATTATTCTGGAGATAGGGCCATATAAAAATCATTTTCACAAGTGCTGGTCAATTAAAATTACAGGAATGCTGGTTTTAATGGTATGATTGCATGCGTGTCAAGGGGAAAACTACTGATTTTAGCAATGTTGAAACAGGTTTTAAATATATTTTTGAAGTTTGGAATGCAACAAATATATGGCCCCAAATCTGCTTTCAGGTACACCAAAAGTCGAAATCAGTAGATTTATACCAAAGATAAAGTTGGATCCTCCTGTTTTGAGCACAAGAGGCATGTGCAATATTGACCTCCATAAAGTCTATAAGAAAATGTCTATTGACTGCATTGGAACCAGGATTTCACACTATTTGTTTGATACCATAGATGTGGTAGTGATTAATTCAATCATTGTTTTAAAATAGATCTATAAATGTATATCAAAAGTATGTGATATATATTGTAAAATATACTACTTCTGGTAGGGAGTCCCCTGTGGTTCAGTGGTAGAATCCTTGTCTGCCACACAGGAGACCCGGGTTTAATTCCTGGATGCTTATACAAGTACAGACATGGAGGCACCAAATGTCTGGACTCAGTCTGGCCTTTGGATTCTGTTTCAGTGGTCTAAAGGGGGGATGGAAGGTCTGGGCACCCTCTACCCCCCCAAACCCCCCCCCCCCCCCGACCCCTCCCTAGATATATGCACCAAAGGTCTGGGTGACCTCTCATGCATGCACCATGATCTGGAAGGATCAATGGTTCCCAAACTTCTGGTAGACATTAGATCTGTATGGTCCAGCAAAACACATTTGTATAAGTACTGACCTTCATCTGTATAAGTACTGTACCTTGCTACCCTCATGAAGTCAAATATTATACCCATTGGCAAAATTCCTGCTCTTTTAAACAAACCAAGATCTTACCTCTAATGAGGTAAATATGGATTCATAAAATAATTAGAAAGTTTCAATATGTTAACATTTAAAAAGAAAAAAATGCAAGGTATTTAATTAAGGCTGTGAAAATAATTATAAGAACCTGTGTTGATATGCTAAGTGTGCCAAAAAGAGAAAACTGAGGAACCATTGATAAGTAACACTACATATAACACATATTCCACTTGGGGTTGGAATAACTTCTATTATCAAGGTTTGTAAAACAATCTAATTATCTGAAGAAGCTAACAATTACTCTGGAGGATTAGGTATATGTAGATATATTTATGTGCTAATCTGTAATAGGAAAAATTACTCTTGGTTCAGTAACGTGTGAAAGAATTTAACAAGAATTAACATGAAAGACTTACCAGCAAATACCTGCAGTCAATTCAGGTTAATATTCTCTGGGAAATTAAGCAGTTAATGTAATTATGTAGTAATACCTATTCACCTTAAAATTTAAAATGTTAGTGTATAAAAATAATATATGTGAGATACTAACATAAAAGTAATATCTTTATGGAAAATAACATGTCATTCTTTCAGGGGGTCTTAGTAAAAAGAAATTTTGTGGGTTTTTTATACAAAATCCAAGACCAATCTCTAAAACCACTAATTTAATTATTATTCATTAAAAACTTCTACTAAAGCACCCTCTCTGATGTGTTTATTTTCGTAAGCACTTTAAAATATCTTATATTAAACTGTAGCATATCCTAAATTTCATGAGAAATAATCTGATGTAACTCCAGTTATTTCACCAAAATGTATTCAGGTTGAAATATTAAAATTTTATTCTTTTCATTTAAGCAGGATTTCCATTTTGGTATCTAAATAATGGTAAGTCAACAATCTCTTTATTCCTATTTTTCATTCCTATATTTCATTTTCCTATAAACTTTGCATTAGAAGTTGTCAGGAGATTGCATAATTTGGAAAAGTGTTGTTTTCTCTGCTGTGAAAAAAATACAAAGCTACCCTACAGTGGTAATAAACAGTTTTGTAAAACACCACAGTGTGGTTTCCAATATTAGAATATTGTAGCATTCTCACTTGCCAACAGTTCCTAATTAGAGTGTAGTATGTGGAATCACTTGTATGTTATTGTCATAGGTTTGGTTTTAGTAAGTCCTATTATAGTATAGATATAAACTTTCTTATTAAAGTCTTTGAACCAGTCTAGTAACAATGAATATTCTTTTTGAAAACTTCTGCAAATTTAGGAAATGGCCTGTAAAATACTTTTACATGTGAGTAATTTTACTCACTTGAATTGTCCCACTCATCTCTGAGTCTCTCTCCAAGTTGCAAGCCAAAAGCGGCTACCAGTGTATGTTCCCACAGGAAGATTTATTCTATCAATATTCCATGCTGCTATTCCATTTGCCCTCAAGTGTCCAACTAAAACTGGAATCTTGATGACTCAGAACCAGTCTTTGCTGATTTAAAACCGAAAAGATCTGTTGTTCTTACAGAATTTTACGGATCAAGACATATTGGGTCAGGCCTTTGAAGATGCCCTAGAGGTGCTGCAGCAGCATTCTGATGGTGAAATTCAGTATCCACCAGGTAAAAAGGACTATTATTGCAATCATTTTAAATTATTACAAGGGGAAGAACGCTTTAAACAGCTTTTCCTGGACAATAGCTTCCTGTTCTCAAAGTATACATGATCACAGTACAGTACCTATTTTTCAGTTTACATGTTGGAAATTGCTCTGTGAGGTACACTGTGAGTGAACTGATGAAACAATTCATTGTAATACAAAAATGGTAATTCAGGTACCAGTGATTTTAGCAGTCACTGAATTTCCATTAAAGTGAATTAAATACAAATGAAGACAAATATTTTTGTGCAGTGTTTTGAATTCTGGGAAATGTATTAGAAAATAGAATGTATTAATTTTCAATGTAATGTAAATATGCTGGCTTTTAAAAATCTTTAATTTATCAGGCTATAAATTGAGATTTCTGGTAAAGAAGTATTGTATATTAGACTACTGGACATCTAGAGCTCTTCCTATAATTGTTCATTTTACAAAATGTCAACATAGTCAACACTGAAAGAATGGGGGTTAAATTATGATGCTGCCCTTGAAACCAGTAGCAAAACTCCCATTGACTTTGGTATCACTAGGATTTCACTGAGGAGAATGTTTTATTATTTGACATATTCATTTATTATATTCTAATGCAAAGATATAGTAATATAAAAGTTATATCCTCTAAAGATGTTAATTGGTCTGGGTCTACTGTCTAAAGTCTTACTTTGACTTAAGAGCTCATTATATACATTTTTTGCAAGGTTAATAATTGCTAATATACAATGTATTGTTCTTGTCCAAATCTGTGAAGGAACCAATCCAGGGAGATGCCAACCACATGTAATTCAAAGTGTTCAGCACTTCCCAGACCTGGCCTCCACTTCAAAATAGAGTAATCATACTTCTTTAAAGGCCTCTTCTGTAGCATCTGACCTCCTCCAAATGTTGCAATCCAGCGCTGAGTTCTGCTATCTATAAATATCCTGAGGGATTAGGTTAATTCGGTGTGGTTCTATCTGGCACTTCAAATGCTGTTAGAATGTTATCCCTGTAATTAGTTTAGACCTATAACATTTTAAAACTATTTAATATTAAAATGTTCAGATTCCTGAGATGGCATTTTCAGAATTTTCCAGAATTTTAGTTCCTATTTTATTCCATTACCTTGTATTGTATAACTTGCACAGGAACTGTTTCCTTTTTCTTTCTTACAATCTAACACTTCTTGTAGTCTTCCAAGATTATCCCATTCACCATTCTATTTGGTAAACATAGACATTTTCTTCATTATCCAAACTGCTTCCTATCCATGAATGCCTGTTTCTTTTTAAACATTCTGCTTTCCACAAACAACAAATAACCTATTAATCAATAGTAATGAACATGTATATGGCTACAATCTGCTTGGTGCTGTCCAAACCATAGATATTGAGAATGCTTTCTCTGGAGATTTTATAATCTAGAAGGTAGCCATAGAAAGATAAGACATCCTGAACCAAAAGTAATTTTAGGGCGCAGACAGAAGTTATGTTTGTAACATGATTAGCCTTCTGAAAGCACTCTACAGCCATGTCATGACACATGTGCATGGCTACAGAGCGCTTTTAAAGTAGCCAATCGTATGACAAATTCACCCTCATCAAATGAGGGATCAGATGAAGGTGGTCCATTTTGGAGCACCTTAGGGAAATTGTATTTCCTAGGATTAATCTGTCACACGATCAGGGCTGGGCTGATGCAGCCCAACCTTGCCCCAGGGCTGTTTGCAGGAAGGGAGGGGTAATGGGGGAGGGGGCTCTCCCACATTGCGGCTTCCCTCAGCTGCCTCCTGCTCCAGCTCAGGCCAGGCAAACCCCAGCCAGAAGCTCACTTCTCTTCTACCAACCCCTCTCCCTTCGGGCTGACAGCTATGGAGGTGGGGTGGGGGGCTGGGAAGAGGGCTGGCTCCTCAGCTGCAGGCACACTTCTCAGGCTTCTGCAGGAAGGCTTGATCCCGCCCCCTCCCCCCCCCCCCCCCC